AAAATGTAAATTGTTATTATTTTGATGGTTTTGTTTTCCTTGTAGGGTTTTGCACATTTATGCTACAGAGTGCAATTGTGCAGTATTCCAGAAATAAGTGACCTGGTGCAAAGCTCACTGTACATTAATTTCCTTGGTTTTAAAACTTGCAATTTCATCACAATATCTTGAACACCTGACAGGATTTTCCATGAATCCTGGGCTCTTTGCTACTTGGATATGGCTCCTCATCAGCCTCTCCATGATGAAGGCAGTCCTAGGCAGCCACCACACATTTCAGCCCATTGGTAGGTGGCTGCTGAGTGTCCCATTCACCTTTGTGCTGGAGGCCATATGCCATTTCATTGCCTCTATATGACCACCCCAAACCCTGGGAAAAGGTCATACTGGGGCTTTGTCAGAGTAATAGCTTTGTTTTGCCTTCACTGGCTTTGTCCTTCTGACCCCACCTGTTATAAACCCTGCACTTTGTACCAAGTGCATTCTAGACCCCTCCCATATCCCATTTTTATCCTTGTTTGCAGAGGATAGTGACTCTAGGTCCAGCCCACAAGCTCTACCTAATTTGACTGCTATTAAGACAATTCATAACTGTGTTTTTCTGTGACCAATAAATATTATATTGCATCATAGCAACTGACATATATCCTATTACTCCTTAGATAAAAACCTAGAGCTGATAGAAGGGAACAAAGAGATTGTAGCTTATTGATCTTCTTGGCTTCTGCAACATCCGTGTTCATAGGTGCTTTCATTACCAGCAGGAGAGGGAGAACTGCACTCTCATATGGTTCCAGAAACGAACACACTTTAACCAGCAAAACATCAGCCCTGCTAACTGTGGTTTGAGAGCCCTAAGAACGGATATCCTTGATGGCAGAGAAGGTGTATCTTCTTAGATATGAACCATTTGTAAATTATAATGTCAGACATTTCTGCTCAGACCCGACACACTCAGGGCTGATTACATAAAACTATTAAATACAACAGCTCAGGGAGGAGGCCAAATCATGCTCTGTCTTGTGTTAATGACAGAGACAGAGACCAGCTCAAATCCTTTTCACCTGGGGAAAATGACTGCTCCTGTCGTAGAAAACAGGGAGGGGGGGTGTCCTTCACCATCACTACTCTCTTTTATTAGATGTTTAATTTTATTGATAGCACTCAAGATTATAAAAAATGAACCCAAGCTTCCTGAAGTGATTAGAGCCTCATGCTGATGATTGGTTTTGGTGCTACAAACCCTTTAAACCTAGGTTTGCTGTAAGATGCCATGATTGTTCCTTTAATTTGACTTGGCCTTGGTGAGAAAAAGATATGGAGCTTTAAGTTTCTCAAGATTCAGTTTGGAGGAGATAGGAGGAGAGAACAGAAGCATGTGGAGTACTGTTCCCTGAAGAGGAGGGATGGGCGCTTGGGCTCTGCAGGTAAGTGAGATATTCAAAGCAATTCATTGCTCTTGCTGTGTTAAATTTTATTCCTGGAGAACATTGAGTTGTCTTGTCTCACTTATAATTTTACAAGGCACAAGCTCATCTAGAGTTGTTTATATGTGCTACGAACAAAAGCAGAGCTCTGTAGCACATTTAATTAGATGGGGGGAAGGTAAAGAATTTTATGATAAGATTATCTTCTGCTCCTCATCACCATCCTGGTACGTAAAAACTTTGTGTGGTATGCTAAGCAGAACCTGATGGTAAGCTATATAGTTATGAGGACAGTGCATGTGAAAACAATGCAGTAATATTTTTTCAGTTAAATACTCCTGTGAATTCTTTTGTGAATATGACTAAAAATGTCATGTAGTCTTATGAAAATTAACCAGGAGATTTAAAGAGGTCGTCCTGCCTGGGCTTTTTGGAGGAATAAACTTTCATTCCTGTGATTGTTGAAAGCAGATAAAGAAGTTTAAGTGAAGACAACCTGGGTCCAAATTATTCATTGCTGCAATAATTTGGCAATAATCAGGATTAAGGTGATGGGAATGACACTATAAAAGCAGTCAGAAATCAAAGAGTAATGTATTTTATATTGTGGCTTTTTGATTCTGGTTCTATAAAGGCTTTTGTGTACATTTAGGGAGGGGAGGATGATTGACTGCTAATCCTGCTTGCAAGAGCAGAGTCTGAGAAGGCAGAAAGGATGTTGAGGGTGTTGAAGAATCAGGAAGGAGTCTTGTGAAGTTGTGTGTAGTTTTCCATCTTCAGCACAAGCACCAGTGTGCAGCAAAGTCTACAGCTATATATCAATCTTGCAGAGAAAAGAGAAATGTCATGACTGTCACTGCAGCTGCAAACCATCTTCTGTTTTGTCTGAACTAGCCTGCTCCTTTGTAACTCAAAAACCTTAAGACCTGTGCTCTCCTCTTGCAGCGAGGGTCAGAGAAAGGTTGGGGGATGTCTTTACAGCTACTCGCTGTGTCTTATCTGTACTGCACAGGGCTTGTTGAGGAGCTGGGGCCTTGGTCTCCTCCTGGCAGAAGAACATTGGCAGAGGACAAGATGGTGCCTTAAGCCTGGTCTTGCTAATTTTGCATGTCTGAACAAGATGTTACTGCTATATAGTAAACTCCATGTCTGTGAGCTTAACAATCATGAAATAATGGTTGTGTTCTGATAATGAGACACTGATGGGTATCCAGCTATGTCTGGATGATGGGAGTGAAAAAAAAAAAAAAGAGCCTTATAGGGATGTTTTTTAACCTGGGTGGGGGGACATTTACTTGCTGGGCATAAAACACCACTCTGAGGAAGGTTAAGAACACCAGGCTACATATAGGAGCCTTGGTCCAAGAGCACCCTGCATCTCTTGTCTGGAAGAGACTCAAGATACTCTAGGTCAGAGAAAGATTCATGGTGCACGAGGGAAAGTTTGATTTCCTAATGCAGTGGCGTGTATAGCTTTTTATTAGCTGTCTTTCACTGCAGAGCAAAACTCATCCCAGCGATAATCATTCCCAGTGCCAGAGAAATGAGTAAAATTCAGGAGCAAATAACTGCCTCTTGTGGTTTCATGAGGACCTGTGTGTCTTTGCACTTCTAAATTCTGGCATAATAAATCCTGAAGTGCTGTTTTGCTCGCAGCAGACATGATTAATACAGCTGTTAGCTGGTGTGTTTTTTAAAGGAAACAATTGGCAACCCCTAGGTGGATAAGCACTGGAGGCCTGGAAACCCTGTGATTTTCTCTGCATTTGAGAAGCTGAGAGAGAAAATAAAAATGATGTATATATTTTTTCTTTTTAAACCCAGACTGGGACATGAGGTAAAGACAGTCACTTTTGCAATAAACACTTTCAACATATCTGTTAAGGTGGAAATCACAGCAGCTCACCCTGTCACCTCCAGCCCACCTGCCCAGGCAGTGAGGGATGTCTGAGTGGACAAGGCCCATTTTCCACTCAGCAGCTCTTCTGTGAGGTGGAAACAGGGCCTGTGGGGATGCTTAGACATGCTGAGCCCTGTAAAATTTATGCTATAAATGCAGGTTTCTCTTCTGCACACCCCATCTCCCCCCATTGCAATCCTGATCAGGACACTGTGACTTTACTAGGTTTCTCTTCTGCTTCTTCCAGCATAATCACAGCCACTGATTTCTGCTTGTTTGCAGATCTAGTTTGCAGCTGGAAGCTCAAACCACCATTTATTTTCTGTATGGGTTCCTAATCTGGAAATGGATCTAATTTGCTTTACTGAATTACACGCAAATTAAGCTAAACACATTGTGTAATGTCCGGATGCATTGTGGAGCTTTCATGAAAGAGGAAAAGGACCGTTTGTCATTGCTGCGTTTCTTCTTTCCTCAATATCAGTAACTTTGTGTTCTCAAAAATATAAAATGTCTCTATAAACACTGGAGTTTTTCCTTGGGGCCAGGAGCTGGGTAGCTGGAGATGCATCTGTTTTGCATCTTTCATCCTCTCAGCCATAAAAGAACATCCTTGCCAGCATCCTGAGCTCTATCCCCTTGCAGTTCCTCCCCTCAGAGTTAGACACACTTTGGTTATCTGCAATATTGCACTTGATAGTATTATTAAATAGTTCTGAACATTTTCCTTTTGGCAATAGCTTCTTCCCTCTTGAATGGATTTTTTTTCTTGTAAATCAGCTTTGGAGCCTCATACGTTTAAGGAAAGTAAATACTTCACTGCTACAAATGAGAAAAGTATTTTGCATTTTCATTTCCTGACCCATCAGGGAGAATTTGTGCAAAATACAGGAGAAATGTCAAAGTGAAAAAATGGCATTGTTTTTGGTTCATTCTCTGACGAGCACAGCTGATGTTATAAAAAGCACCCAGCACTACTCAGACTTTGTGGAGACTGAATTGAAAGAGGACAAATACTTCAAAGATTAGTGCTACTTTTCAATGTCCAATTGTACTCACTGACAACTACTACATCACCTGAGGTCTTCTACATGATTTCTTAGTTTACTGATTTAAACCATGTCTGAAATACTTTTATTTTCTAGGAAAGTTTGCTGTTTAGATGTGGGACTGTCATGATCCCAGGATGGGGTCACCACATGCATTTACAGCTACAAGCGTTGCCTTTAGTTTCCCTTCACTAAACCATCTTTATTCTGAGACAGCAGAAAAGCCTTTCCTCTTCACAGAGGCTGTTTAACAGGACTGATTTGCAAGATTATTTTCTTAGCTGAGAACAATTAAGAACTCTAACAGCTTAACTGACTGTGATAATTAACAGTTACAAAGCCTATCTTTGTGGAGAATATAGCACACTGTCCTATTTTAGTCCTAGCGTAATAAAGAGTGAGGAAAAAAAATAAATACCCATTGATATCCAGAGCAGTTCCCTAGGATGGTGAGCCTGGTGGAGAGCCCACGCTGGGTGTGAGCTGCCACAGCAGCCGTCCCTGCCTGTGCAATGCAGCAGGTTAGTCACTTTGACAAACAAGGGCAATAAATTTACATAGTCATCATGACGCAATTAGAAAATTTTGGCAGCCAATGTGGAAAAGCGTGCTACTCCCCACTCACAGGAAGCGGTAGTTTTATGTAAATAACTTCTGGGTCAACCTTCTGGGCTCCAGCCGGTGCCCTGGCTGTTTGCAGGCAGCAGCCCAGGATGCTGGGGAGGCTCTTGGGCAGCAGCCCCAGGCTGTGGTGGTGGGGGGCTCGCCTGAGCACCTGGAGCCCCCACACTGCTCCGCTGCTCCTGCGCCCTGCCAGGGCCATCGGTGACAAAGCCAAGGGTGTGCAGGATGTGGTGCAGCAGACAGCTAATCCAGGTGGGTAGAAATGCTTTGGTCACTGTTCTGTGCTGCGGAATGGAGGGGAAGGTGTTTGTTTTTTTTTCAGGAAACAGCTAGGCAATGACCCTTGTTCCCATCTATGGCTGTGCTGTTTCAGTGCTGCATTGGGGTTATAAGCATTGCTGAGGCACAGAGAGAATCAGAAGTTCCAACTAGTAGCATACTACTCGGGAATAAAGATTTTTGTGTTAAATAGTCCTTCTCCTGTGTTGGCAAACAAACAGACATCTCGTGTCCCGGAATCTGTTAATTAAAAAAGAAAGTAAAAGTTTCTCCTCACACCCTGCTGCTGGGTTTCTGGTGGAGGATGGGTGCACATCCCCACACGTTCAGGGACGGTGATGCCTGCTGCTGCCATGTGCTATCCCTCCCCACCCAGCACACCTTGGAGGTAAGGGGTATGCCATCTCGGACAGGGATATTGGAGTGGCTCAGTGCAGTAACTTAAAGGCAGTGGATGGGTTTATTGCTCCTTCTAGTGAGAAGGAAGGTCAGATCCATGCTTGGGTATCATTCTAGCCTGATCTTCCCATCAGGGAGCTGCTTGGTGCCCCCTCCAGATGAGGTCTCTGTACCAGGCAGCCCTTCCTGCAGTGGCCAATCTCTCTGGCACTGTTTCTCTTTATAATCCGTGCCATCACCTCCTTGGCCATGCCTTTGCGGATTCTTCACCCTAGCACAACCAGGCTGTGTGGGGCTGCTGGTGTTTCCATGGAATGAATGTGGCTGTCTAGAAAAGGGCTTTGCCCTTGTTTTCCCTGAGATGGAGCCTGTCCTTTTAGCAATCCATCCTACTGCTGACTGCAAATCAGATTCAGGCTCTCACTGATATTTCAGATGTCTCTCTCCTGGTCTCACTGACACTGGTTAAGAAAAATATGAGAAGCAGGAGATTAAATTTACCTGGGGACTCAAGTACCAAGATTCACACCTAGAATTTTTCAGCCACTCACAAGACCTGGCACACGTGAACACACCTGGGGCCAAGACACTTAATGTAACTTTACAACTGAGCACAGGCAGGAAGAGATGCTCTGTGCCCTCTTCTGTATCTGCAGCGATTTCCTTTTAGCCAAACATCAGTAATTCAACAACAACCAGGGAGTTGGGGACACTGAGACTGTCCATGTTCATGTCCATGTCCATCCCTTTCTGCATGCTCTGGGGCATGCCTACCTCCCCCACAGGGCACTACTAAAAACACCAGTCTCACATTTGCAAGTACAGGGCATCATATTCCAGAATCTTGTGTGCACCCTGCCTGGGTGCATGAGCAGATCCAGCTGCCTGACAATGATATGGACATGCAAGGCATAAAACAGGTTTTGGGCTAGCCATTCCTTACCCTATTTTCCCAGGGTTTCCCTGCCACTGGCCACATTGTGGCCTGTCACTGGGCTTGTTTCTGTCAAGAGGCACTGGAGTCTCTTTTTCAACCTTCTCACAGTGACAGCATGCTAATGGCATCACTGCGGTAGTCTGCTGGGGTGTAATGTATCATCATTAGATTACAGCAACGTGGTACCCAGCTTGCATGAGAACAACAGCCTCCCACCAGGCTGTATTTTAACAGACCTCATCTCTCTATCAGCACTTTCCAAAGGAGATGCTGTTGAGGACTTATTAGTGCTGCTGGCAGTGTGCTGAACTCACTATTTAAAAGCAAGATGCAAGCAGGGTGAGAACATACTGTGGGATTGGGGTGACTTCAGCCCCACATCCCTTCTGCCTCTTAATGAGGAATGTTGGAGAAATTTTTAGTTTAAAACCCACTTAAAATAAAGAAAATACATATTTTTAAATTGAATAAGCTCTAAACATAAGCAAGTATCTCATATCAGCTACATAATCCCATTGATATTATAATGCACATTTGGCTCTCACAGAACAGAAAAATGCTATTTTGAACTTTGAATCCTTTTTCTCTGTAACTATATATATATTTTTTCTTCTCTTCCTCTTCTTAAGTTTATCTCACTGTTGCCTTTTGTAAAATTTCTTAAAGGTTACAAAGCATTCATGAATGAAAGAAGGCCTACAAATTTTGATAAAAAGGTCTTAGTATGGGCAGGACGCTTTAAAAAGGAGGAAGACATTCCCAAGTACATAACGTAAGTATATGTAAAACCTTTTTCCTTCTGATGTTAAATTCATTTTGCTTGAATGATGCTTTTGGATATGAACAAACAGATTGAGACTGCAGTCTGCATTAGTCAGAAGTGTGTTTACAGGGTGGGTGTTTGTGGACTGCTATGCTTTTGGGGCTTGCTGCTACTGGTGTCCAAAAATAATCCCAACTTTTGGGAGCATTAACTCCTTGTTATACCTTATGAAGTACACTGGATTCACTTATTTTAAGTAGCATAAGTTTCAGACTCAGCTGAAGTGTCTTTTGCAAGGCAAGTAGCTTTGTAGCTCAGAAATTACCATGGTACAATGTCATTTGGGTTTTTAATATTCTTGGCTAGCTTTTATTGATTAGCAATTAATAATACTACATACATTTTAAAAGAAAGTTAGGGATATGCATAGCTCTGGTGACAAACATCTGCAAAGAATTCCTCGTGTCTGGTCTGTGGTTTTATACTCCATGATATCTCACATCCCGTGGAATTTTGCTAAAGGATTGTATTTCATTTCAGAGACCTAATGTCTCCAGACTTGTGGCATACTGGGGGCTCCTCCACTTGGCCTTCCCTTTGCTAAGTAAAGAAATCCACAGCTGGACAGGATTTCATGAATGACTCAGGTTGTCACATTGTAGACTCTTGCAAATATGAATGGTTAGATAAATCCTGTGAGTCACTCATGGAAGGTGGAGGAGATTTCTCAGAAATGGCTGCACGCAGTCCTTTGGGAAGACAAGTCTGGACGGATGGTGCAGTTGTACGCTGCAGCTCAGTCTCAGCCTCTCGCTGCAGTAGATACTGGTGTGCCTGTTGCCAGCTGCCTGGCAGAGGTCTACATGGTGTTGAGACAGGGCTGCAGGGCACTTCATGCATCTGGGAAGGGGATGTGGCTACACATGCAATCACCACTTTCTGTGCCTTTTTGCTGCATGAAAGCTCTCTATTGTTCTCAGCCAAAATGTCATACGTGTGCTTTTATTCCACTGTGAGAACATGGCATGGCCCCAGTGTTTCCTGGTACTGTGCAGCACCCCACACTGTGCCCTGCAGCTCCCAAGGGTGGACCTCTTGTAATTCTATTATCACGATGAAATTGTTTTTCTGTCCTCGTAATTTTTAGCTGTTCATTCTGTTGTGAAAAAAGATACAAGAGCAGAGTTTGTTGTTTGTGTTGTTGCTGTCAACAGCTGGGAGTAGCAATACCTGACTCTGTGTGTGTGTGTGTGTGTGTGTGTGAAGGGGGTTGGCCAAACCTTTCCTGCACAGGCTTTTTTTTTTTTTTTTTTTCCCTTGAGTCCCGTAAGCACTTGCAGAAAGAGAAGGTTAAATTCATAGTACATAAAAAGGCAGTTGCTGGAAGATTTGAGGATTCATTATCCAGCTCCCCATGATCTTATTTCCCACATGCTGCTACAGTGCTACAGGATGGAAACTCTGTTCTGTCCTCCACAGCTCTGAGGTCCTCGATGCAGCAAGGAACACTGTGAGGATAAAGGTTTGCTATATCATGATCGCACTGACCTTGCTGGGCTGTTTGGCCATGGTAATCACAGGCAAAGAAGTGAGTATTGCTTCTGAGTGAGGTGAACTGATCCACTTAAATGTATGGTCTGTGTATGCTGTTTGTAATGTTCTTTTTAAATAAGCAGGCGCGTGACAGATAGGTGTTGAGGTTAAGTCCATATTAGCAATATTTGCATGGGACCCCTATCACCCTATTCTCCTGAGGAGAGATTGACACGGAAACACAACTTGCTTGTTAATGTGTTCCTTCTGACCTACTTTACCGTAAGCCAGTGCACTGCAATGCCCCATATCATGGTGTTGCACCAGGAGGCCAGTCCAAAGGTTGTGGAGCAGCTCAGACAACAGCAGCAGAGCCTGGCCCTACCCTGCAGCAAGGGAAGTGGGGCTCCCATGGCACTGCGCAGCTAGCCATTGGGCCACTGTGGCCATTAAAAGATACGAGACTTGTTTCCCCCATCCCATTGGTGGGGAGGGAGGGTCTGCAGCTAGACTAGCATGTCCCAGCTGCAAGTGCTGTGCCCTTCTTCCATCCTGCTTGCTCACCTGTAAACATCAAGCAGTGCAACTTTTCCACTAATTAGAAGCTGAAAATGATGACAGTTTAGTAAAATGAGGAGGCAATGTCTTTCACTACAAAATATCAAAAAGAACAGTGTGATATCTAAGCAAGTGGTGCAAATACAGGGAAGTTTAGTGGTGGGAAATGTGTGCGTGCAATGATTTTCACCATTTCTTTTCAAAGGCTGCCAAAAGGGATCACACACTGCTGAGGATGAATGAACAAAAGAAGGCCAAATGGAGGGCTGAAGTGGAAAAAGATCAGGAGGCAGCTGCTGTGAAGCCACAATGATCAGGAACAGATTTACAATAACAGCAGGAGATAAGCGACTTGCACACATGGCATACATACCTGTTTTCATTTTATGCTTTGGAACTTTTTCCCTGCAACTCCAACAGAGCAAGGACTTTGCTTCTTAAAAACTGCTCTGTACGAACTGTGAAGATGTTACGGAAACTCCAAGGACTGCTTTCTGTGGTCTCTGGTCTTAGTCACCATGTTCAGCTAAAAAGCAGATGTCTCTAAACTGGGAAGAGTGAGAGGGACGGGTGCAGGACTCCTCATCTCTGGATCAGCTTCTTGTGGTGCTGTCATAAGTGATACAGAGCTGGGGCAAAACAAGTCTGAAAAGTCTTTTTTGAAATCAGAAAGAGGTCAAAAATCTCTACCTCTAAGCCTACTGCCATTGCTGTTCCCTCTCCCTTCCTGTGACAGGGGAAAGGAGGGGCACGAGCACAGAAGGGCTGGAGGGGTGTGAACAGGCCCTCGTGACTGACTTGGGCACAAAGGGGCTTTGTGCCAGAGAAGCTGATGGTGGTGTGGAGTGGTAGTGTGGGCTCATGGAGTGGTTTGGTGGTTGTGGGGCAGCTGCCCTCCTGGGAACCCACACCCTGCACAGGGAGCCTATCTGGAGGCACCATTCATCCTGTTGCACTTCACTGGGTCTGCTTTTCCATCTTCTGCTTCCAGTCATTGTATGAAAAGCTCCCTAGCTCTTGCTTAGTTGTGATTTTAGTCAGGATTAATTGTTAAAACATGGTTTGCTAAAACAGAATTCTTTTTAATCACCATAGTTCATTAACTTATAATAAAACAGCTGTCCAATTACATCTAAAACAAACACTTCTCTTTACAGCTTCATCTAAAGTGTCACCAAGCTCTCTTGGATGTTGTTTAACAAATGGGAGAGATCCTAATAAATTATTGAAAGTTCCATTTTCATAAAGTGATTAAACTTTAACACAGACCTCAGTTCACACTTGTGGTCTGAACCCCTGTGCATCATTCATAAATCCCTAACACCTGTAAACACGCCCACGGAGCTGGGTGCACTGCATGGGGTACCAAAGGATGCAGAGTGACAAAACCCATCTGTCTCACCCTGGCCACCACAGGAGGTGGTAAATGCTGTAGCCAAGCTCAGCTTTTGTGCTGTGTCTTGAGCATCACACCAAAGCTTTTCTTTGCTGCTGCTGGTTTGTTACTCACACAGGGTATACTTGGGCTCCAGCAGAGTCTGGAAGCTCCCACTCAGGTCTCACAGGTTTATTGTGCCAAAAATAATGTCTACTTACTGCTGGTATGTCACTACATGAACAAATTGCTGGCAAGGATGGGATCATCCCCAGGGCTTGGGAGTTTGTGGTCAGCAGCTGAACTCTGGCACTTTGTCTCCTGTATCTGTGGTCATATGGTGGCTTTTTTTTTTCCCTTCTGAGGCCTTTTAGGACCACTTTTCTCCATGTTGCACACCCATTTGGGATGAGGAACGTGTATGAAAGGGATGTTACATCTGTCACAAGCTGGTGTTCACAGTCCTTGTTTCCAGCTCACGGACCTGTACAGTATAATTTGCAAAAAGTGATGTCTGCTCCCTGTAGTATTCCCTGTGAAGCACATCTCAGAAAAGTGAAAATAACAGTCTAGGACAAGTACCAAGTAAGCAAGTCTCTGCTGAGATGGTGCTTTTTGCCTGCACAGGTAATATGTGCTCATTTGTTTTATGTGACCTGGTTTTCTTGGTTAGTGCAATAAACCTGAAGAATTTCCTCAAAGTTAGTGTTCACTTGGGGATGAACTAAAACATCTCTGGTCAGTTGCTTAGGTTTATTTATTTTTTTAATTCTTAAATGGCCTTCATGTACCCTATTTTTAAGGCAGCACATGTAACACTTAAAGGAGCCCATTTTGATGCTTATAAACAAAATCATATCCATGTTCTGAACTTACCTGACTTAAACAAAAAAGGAGAACCTCATAACCATATTTAAAGAACAAGCAAATTGATTATGACTTTTTCCATTCTGGTCTTCATCTTCCTGTGCCTGGAAAAAAAAAAACAAACAACAAAACCTGCTTCAGGTATGAATAATCGTCAAACCCTTTTGAATAACATTAATCTCTGTTGACTACTGTATAAAGCTGCTGCATTACACATTGTCATTAAGAAGAGGGAAAAATCAATCCCTCCTCCCTGAGCCAATGATGATGGGTCACTTCTGAGCAATCAGATGACCCAGGTGCTTTTGGGCTCTCATAAAGAGCACTGAAGATTATGTAGGGGATAATCCTTTACCAGCTCCAGCTACAAAATTAGTCATTTTAATATAGTAATATTCCACCCAGAATCAATTGGACTAATGGCTGGCTTGCACTCAGTGACGAGTCGCTGCTGGTGTAGCACAGCCTCGGCTGGAGCCGTCCCTGTAGTAACTAGAGATGCCAGCAGAGGACATTGTACTGCTCTGATGCCTCTCTGACACCGGGGCTTATCACTGCTTGTTAAAATCGGTTTCCATCTGTGTTTGCAGAGTCCTTTAACTCTTCTCTTGAAAAGCTTCTAATTAACACAGCTTCCTGAATGTATAATTGGCTGAACCTCACCACCTTAGGGTAGTGTTTTTTTTTTTTCCTCCTCCCATCTATATTGCTTCAGAGTCACACCTGATCCCACAGTCATTTTAAAAAGGGATAGGAGTTGTTATTAGGTAGGAGATATTCTTCCCTTTTTAATAACATGCCCTGTATCTACCCAGCCTGTCCCTGAGGACAGCAGGAGGGGCTGGGTCCTCTTCAAGGCAGGGGATAGAGCTGAAGGCATGCTGGTTTGTCATGATGCTCAGGCAGACTGGGGGTGAGTCCTTTCAACTCCCATCTCCTCGTTTATCACTCTGCACTGGGAGGAAAGAAAGCTTTCTATCTTGCAGGATTTTTTTTTTTTTTTTTTTTTTTTTTGTCATTTTAATGAACTCCTACATGGAAATGGTTAACAACGGGCAGTTGGCTGGTGCCATAGAGGCTTGTGTTATAATAATTATTGGGAATGTTTTGCCTGGTAGCTGGAGCTAATCTAATTCTGCTTCTATTAAAATCAATGCTGTATTTCCTTCTGGCTGTGTTTAAGAGCTGTCATCCACTGCTTTGGAAATCCCTCTGATTTCTAAAAGGTCAGCTTCCCCAAGGAGCCCAGTTGCTGTGGGGCAGAATTAAATACACCTGAACTTTCTTCTACCAATGAGGTGATATCAAGCTTGCATGCAAGGCTCTGTATGATGAGCATCCCAGTGCCTTGGAGAGAGGGTGTAAGATGGGAAACTCTGAGCTTGGAAGATCTCTGTCTCTCTCTTGCTTGTTTTGTCTCTCTCTTTGACCTGCTCAGGGGGTTTCTAGTGACACTTTGTTTCCTTCCATCCATCTGCTTTGATCAGCTTCTCTCCTGGTATGCAGCAGGACCCACACGATACTGCACTTGTGAGGGACATTTTGCCTGGATGCAGATGAAATCTTGCCATTTGGAAAAATCTCATTTTAAAGAATTTCCTATTCTTTCAGTGTTTAATCTCCCACCAAGCTGGGAAACTGCTGCTGATTTTTAAGGTTGAGTGTACCAGGCTTCAGCTTCCAGGCATTGGACGTTGTCTTCAATATGGAGTAAAAAATATTCCATCTCAACTCCTTCCTGTGTGTATGTAGTTACCCATCAGCTTTCTTTTGGAGTTAAATTCCTACTATTTTCAAAAAAACTGTCCTTTCTGATGTTTGCTTGGTGGGTACCACTCACTCACTGGTCAATTGATCTCTGGCTGCTGCTGGCCCACAGGAGAGCCCTGCTGCTCTCTGGGATCCACACACCTATCATGATTTCAGAGCTAGTTTAAACACCATTCTCTTGTTTGTATTTGTCATGAAGTTGTTCTAGCGTAGCAGGGAAGCAAGACCAATGCTCAGTAATTTGAAATAATTAATGGATCATTTATTAATGCACTGAGGTAGCATTAGAGCAATTTTCCATGGTTAAGTCATTTGATGATCATTAATGCTGTATGATTTATTACAAAACCACTGTGCCTGTCATATGATGAGCAGGTAGCTCCTGAAAGGTTTAGTGCTCTAAAAGGACCAGAGGTTTTCAATTCTCTGCTCTGTGCAGGATCCAGACACAGACCTCAGCTCTGTGTTGGTCAGGCTGGTTCCACACCTTGGCTGAGCATGGAGGCAGCCTTCTACATGGAAATTTGAAGCTCAGATCTGATTTTTCCTCTGTAGTGTTGCATTTCCTTGGTGAAGGGGTCCAAACCTTGAGCTATGTGGTCAGGGACTGCTATTTGTTGGTGTGTGAGGGCTTGCCAGGGGGAGAAGGTCAGTCTGGAACATGATTTTGCAGGAAATAGCTGAGCTCACTCATGGCTTATGTATGCTCTGCAGCATGAACAGTTATCAGAAACTGCCAGTGAGGCTAGACCAGAAAATCAAGGGATCTGCATGTCAGTTTGTAATATGCGGATGAGGTATGGTCCAGAGACTTCTTATAAATGAAATGGAAACCCAAACTACCCAATGAATTAGTCATATGCTAATTACAGTCATTCCCAATGGTTCATGTTTCTGTTTCCACAGACTGTATTAATGCAAACCTCACTCACGTGGTGCGCTGTGAATTGCATACAACTCCTAGCTCCCTGTTAGCTATTTTATCATTGTCTAAGCATTGGTCTGCAACAAATTTCTAACAGCAGGGCTAAAATCTTTACCAAGGGCATCCACCAGAGCTATAAAGATGTCATTAAAATGATGCTGTTCCAGGGCAGATAGAACAGTCTCCAAAATACAGTTTCAGATTGTACCAAGGGGCTGGAGTAAGCCTTGAAAGGTAGGAAGTTAAATACCCCAGCACTTCAGTGCACTAAGCCCCATGAGAGGCAATTTTACTTGACAAACAAACCTTAATGTAAAGCAAAAGTACAACTATTGCATGTCGTGCTCTCCCACTCGTTTCCTTTTTTCTTCTCCCAGAGCTGTTGTGCGGGCGGTGCAGGGGATGCTGTAAGCTGAGGACTGCTGGGTGCCTGCCGCTGTAGCACGAGCCCACGCACTGGCAGGGGAATGCTGTGGGTTGCCAAGTGCTGCACTGTGAAACTCTGCAGAAATGGGCAAAAAGCCGACTGTGCAGCTGCAGTATCTGATGTGCCAACTCCCACAGCCTCTCTGTAGCTGCTAATATTTAGTGTTTGAGGAGTTTTTATCTCCTTACTGCTTAGTGACTTTGCTGAATGCACCAGGGAGGCATTTTGAGCTCATTTCAGGTGAAGTCCAGGTGCCTCTGGACTTCCATGGGTGACAGCTGGATGTGCAAGTGTCTCCTGCTGCTGGGAGCATGCAGGTGTCCTTCCAAGATGGGCTCTGGGAAGGAAACTGAACAGGATGAGGAGCAGAAAGCTGCTGCCCAGATAGCACTTTGTGGGCAGCTCCCCAGAGGTCACTGCTTCCCTCCCAGTGTCCTTTACCCAAACTCTGACCTAGCACCTGGATGCTCTGCAGCAGAAGGTGCCATCCTCCCCAAAGCCAGAATGAGAGCCCAGCTGCTATGGGCATCTCAGGGCAGCTTCATCTCTACACCCAGAGGTGTGAGCTGCAGTCCCATAGCTGGGGCCTCCACCTGCCCTCAGGGTGACAGGGCTGGGAACAGGGTGCCCAGCCTAGGGGAGAGCAGAGTGGTGCATCCCTTCTGCTGTCACGTCCTTTCTCTGCCCATTCTGCCAGCGTGGGCAGCTGCTGCTGTTCATCCGGGCTTTCCACAACACAAAGCACTCTGCAATATTCGTGGGGTGGGAAGCTTGACCTTTTTTTTTTTTTGAGAAGCTCAAAATGTACATTGGCAGGTCAGACTTCCTTTTGGGAAGAACTAGGACAAAGGGTTCAGCAGAGCAGCCCAATTCCCAGTATTTCATTTTGGTTCAATTAGACAGAAATAA